AGGGAAGGCAGTCACCTGGGCCCAAGGAGGCTGATGTGGCGACAGCATTAAAGCCTTCTCCCCTCCCCTCCCACAGAGCAGGACCTGATCGGCCAGGACCTGAACTCTCGCTACCTGAATGCCCAGGGTGGCCCTGAGGTGGTGGGGGCAGGGGGCTCGGCCCGGCCCCTGGCCTTCCAGTTCCACCAGCACAACCACCAGCACCAGCACACCCACCAGCACACCCACCAGCACTTCACCCCTTATCCCCCGGGCCTGCTGCCACCCCATGGCCCCCACATGGTGAGCTCCTCATTGGGCCGGTGATGAGGCTCGGAGGCCTCAGGGGAGGGCATGGCTTCCAGGGGAAGGCCCAGGTCTCTGGCTGGCAGCTTATTCTTCCCTTCTCTTCCCTAGTTTGAGAAATATCCAGGAAAGATGGAAGGCCTTTTCCGACATAATGTGAGTGTGCGTGTGTGTGTGGGGTGTGTGGTGTGGGCGTGGACGTGTCCATGTGTGTCCCTGACTGCTGGGGTTCAGTCTTCAGCACAAAAGCAAGAGCCTTGAACCTGGGACAGCTCCCTGGGGGGCTTAGGGTGGAGCCCCGTGGACTGGAGGGAGACATGGACTGGAGGGAGACAACTTGGGCTGCACCTCCACCCCCGCCTGGACTAGTCCCCTTCTCTCCGCAGCCGTATGCGGCCTTCCCTCCCGCAGTGCCCGGGCTGCCTCCAGGCCTCCCACCGGCCGTCTCCTTTGGCTCCCTGCAGGGGGCCTTCCAGCCCAAGGTGAGCTCCCAATCCAGACACTACCACTGCCTCCCACGTTGACAAACCCAGACACGCTGGGTCCACACACCCTCCTCCCATTCCCCAAAGCCATGCCCATCCTCTCGCCCTGCCCTGCTGCACCCAGGTTTCTCCAAAGCTACGCTCCCTCCCTGCTCCATGTCCCAGCTTGGTTCTGGACCCCTTTGTGCTCGGTGCCAGCTCTCCTGTCTGATCCCTCCACTCCCCTTTCCCAGAGCACGAACCCTGAGCTGCCACCACGACTGGGGCCGGTGCCAAGCGGGCTCCCCCAGAAGGGGACACAGGTGAGGGGGCCAGGGCAGGTCCTGGGGAAGCTGGAAGGTGTGTTGTGGGGAGAGCAGAACTGACTTGAGAGTGAACTACTGAAGTAAAACTTCCTTTAATACACAATCTGGTGTTCTGGGTGTCTAACGAGAGGGAATTTCTGTAAATAACCCACTTTCCCCGGCATGAGGAATGAGAGTTTCATGAGCTTGTCCCAGGAATAAGATGATTAGGACAGTGGTTTTATAGGGGTTTTCAAACTTTTTAAGTCACAAAACACTTTATTTCCAAATGATGTCGTATCAGGAAGCCCTATTAGGAAAACAGAAGATAAAAGCTGCCCCTTGGTGAAGTGAGGAGAGACAGAGCCTCCCTCCCCTTAGCACTTGTAGCAGCTTAGACCCCAGGGCTACGGGAGCACTGTGAAACCAAGGACCAATTTCCTACTGGGGAGACTAGGCCAGAAGTTTTCCAACTTCCTTCAAAGGCATTTTTCTTAAAGAAACCTTAAACAGACCAAGATAGTCTAAAGCTGGTAATAGGATAGCTTTTCTGAGAAATCTGTCCTGCCTGCCCCTTCACCACTCGCAGCCTCCCAGCAGGGCACCTCCCTGGGGCCTGGTTCAGAAACCTTGTGCTGGAGGAGAGATGCCCAGAGTGGGAGAGATGAGGAAAGGAGCTTGGGCCTGAGCAGGAAGGGTTTGAGGGAGTTGCAGAGTCTCAGGCATGTGGGTGGGTAAGTGGATGCTGTGGAGATGGAGGCACCTGGCCCAGGACTCCGGTCTGAGTCGCCTCCCATCTCTCCTTTGCCATCCCCAGATCCCCGATCATTTCCGGCCACCTTTGAGGGTGAGTTGTGTGAGGACCTCAGGCTGCATGAAGCTGGGGGCTGACGTTAGGGTATTTGGCTAAGGTGGGGGGGTCTTGCTTGGGAACCAGTGAGAAGCCCAAAACCTGGAGGCAGCCGGGTGTGGAACAGCAGATAGTGAGGGCTTTCAAGTCACAGACCTGGGCTCAGATGGAACTGGCCATGGGACCTTGGGCAAGGCAGTTGATCTCTCTGAGCCTCAGTTTCCTAGGCTGTAAAATGAACCTAGTCATCCCTCGGTTGTAGGGATGATGAGTTAGGGATGTTTTGTGGCGAGGCTGGGCCCAGAGCCAGGCCTGGAGTGGATGATGAGTGAACGTTCTTTCCTTCCCTTTCCCTTTGGTCATCCTTCTGGGGCGGCAGAAACCAGGGAAGTGGTGTGCCATGCACGTGCGTGTGGCTTACATGATCCTGAGACACCAGGAGAAAATGAAGGTACTGGGGCCGGAGGGCTGGGGAGAGTGGGTCTCAGAGTCGGGAGGTCTGAGTTCTGGGCATCAGCCCTCGACAGAGCTCAGCAGAATCTCGGCCAGAAACATTCTCTCTTGTCCCCCGTCACTGCCAAAGTCCTATGGCTGGCACCTTAGTTCTCTGGCTCATTAGGGGGCTGCTCAGAAAAGGCACCGAGAGAGGCAGAAGATAGGCATCCAAGCCCCATCTGGGTGCCAGTGAGCCTTTGGAGGAGAACCAGGGGTGAGAAAGCAAGAGGAGGACCAGACCAACTCCTCATGTCCTGCCCCTCTCCCTGTGTCCCACGCAGGGTGACTCCCACAAGCTTGACTTTCGGAATGACCTCCTGCCCTGCCTTCCGGGGCCCTATGGGGCCCTGCCCCCTGGGCAGGAGCTCTCCCACCCGGCCTCCCTCTTCACTGCGACTGGTGAGTCTGGCCAGCCCCCTTGGGCCTGAGATTCCCTATCTATAGCCTGAGGCCCAGCTCGTGCCCAATCAGCCTCATCAGAATCTCCCACCTCTCTGCCCCAGGTGCCGTCCACGCTGCAGCCAACCCTTTCACGGCAGCTCCCGGGGCCCACGGACCCTTCCTGAGCCCCAGCACCCACATTGGTAAGAGCCAAGGGCATGTTGGGCAACCCAGGCTTTGTCCCTCACTTCCAGGAGATGGAAATCAGACCCAGCAGGCAGCTGGAATGCAGGATAGACCTGGTTCCACTTGCTTAGTGACCTTGGGCAGGTTATTCTACCCCCTCTGAGCCTTGATTTCCTCATCTGTAAAATGAGTAGGGAAGGGCAGGGCAACTTCAGTCTCTGCCAGCTGCAGCCCTGTCTCCAAGTGGCCAGTGGCAGGGGCAGTATGCCACCTGGGAGTGGAAGGTGGGGGGACGGGGCCAGCCTAGGGGAGAGCATGGCCACTGACTCCTAGGATCTTGGCAGGCATCTTGGGGAGGTTTCACCTGGGTTTGGGTGGACAAGAAGGAGTTGAGCCTGGTGGCTTGGAGAATGGTGTTCCTGGCTGGGGATATGGTGGTGTTCCAGTGGCGGGATAGGTTAGTTGTTCTCTCTGGCTGTGTGACGCATGCATGAAGTTAGGGTCAGGTCGGGAAGGGCCCTGCATGTCAGGTGGGAGGAAGCCAACCAGATCTTCAGGCGAGTGGCTTGCTACGGAGCAGAGATCTGCTGTGATGGGTCCAGCCGGCTGGTGTGGGACAGTGGGGGATAAGAGCGTGACATAGTGTCATGGAGGCCCTGGGTTGGTACCACTCCCTGGCTAGATGACCACTGGCAAGTCATTTCACCTCTCTGAGCCTGTTTCATCATCTTCAAGTGGGCATGATCCTAACCATCTCTTGGGCTTTTTGTGAGGTTAACTGACAAGGTTCTTGTCAAAGCTCAACACCTTCCTGGCCCAAGGAAGTGCTCAGTACACAGCTGTTGAAAGCAGGCAGCTGAGGGCTCCGGGCGCCAGTTCTGCCTCTGCCTGGCCAGGCCTCGTATGTGCTCTCAACACTGGCTGCCTAGTCCTCTGACCAACCCCCTTTCCTCCCACAGATCCCTTTGGGCGTCCCACAAGCTTCGCCTCCTTGGCTGCCCTCTCCAACGGGGCCTTTGGAGGCCTGGGCAGCCCCACATTCAGTGAGTGCGGGCATGGTGGGGTGGGGGGCTGCGGCTGTGGATGACCTGGCAGGAGGCCTGAACAGGGCCGCCCACTTCTGGCCCCTGTCACTCTCTCTGCTTCACCCTCTGCCCAGACTCCGGCGCCGTCTTTGCCCAGAAAGAAAGCCCAGGGGCCCCACCAGCCTTCGCCTCCCCTCCGGACCCATGGGGCCGCCTGCACCGCAGTACTCTGGCCTTTCCTGCCTGGGTCCGGCCCCCTGAGGCCGCCCGGACTCCAGGCTCAGACAAGGAGCGGTCTGTGGAGCGGAGGGAGCCCTCCCTCACCAAGGAGGAGAAGGACAGGTGCGCCTCCCACCTACCCCACCCCTGCCCCACCCTCAGCCCCTGTTGCCCCTGGAGAATTTCATTTTCTCCCCACACCTGCCCTCCAGGGACCTCCCCTTCTCACGGCCCCAGCTCCGAGTTTCTCCTGCTACTCCCAAGGCCCGGGCTGGCGAGGAGGGGCCCCGGCCAGCCAAGGAATCCGTGCGGGTAAAGGAAGAGCGGAAGGAGGAGGCTGCTGCTGCCGCTGCTGCCGCCGCTGCTGCTGCCGCCGCCGCCGCTGCCGCCGCTGCAGCCACTGGGCCCCAGGGCCTTCACCTACTGTTTGAGAGGCCCCGGCCACCCCCGTTTCTGGGCCCTAGCCCATCAGAGCGCTGTACTGGCTTCTTGGAGCCAACCTGGTTGGCTGCACCGCCACGCCTGGCAAGGCCACCCCGGTTCTATGAGGCGGGTGAGGAGCTGACTGGACCCGGGGCCGTGGCTGCTGCCCGCCTCTATGGTCTGGAACCTGCTCACCCCTTGCTCTACAGCCGCTTGGCTCCTCCACCACCACCTGCTGCAGCCCCAGGAACCCCTCACCTTCTCAGCAAGACCCCACCGGGAGCCCTTTTGGGGGCACCACCTCCACTTGTGCCCGCCCCCCGGCCCAGTTCCCCACCTAGGGGCCCTGGCCCAGCTCGGGCTGACAGGTGAGGGGAGGGGAGGGGCTGGGGCAAAGCTCCATCTCCCCTTCAACCAGGTCCTAGGGCTGAGGTTTTAAGCCAGGGCTGGAGGGCAAAGGTCATAACCTCACCAGCCACCTCTGAGGTCATGGAACCTGGGAACAGAAGCCTCAACCCCCACGAGACCAAGCATCACGTGGAGTGTGAGGTCACCGGGAGAGCAGAGGTCACAGCCTCTAGAGAGGGAGGGGGCATGTGCATGGGAGTGTGGCTCATCTCAGGGGCCATGAGGCCTCATGAGGTGCACCTTTGCCCCTCTAAGGGCCTCTAGGCCCTGGGCCTGCCTCCCCAAGGGCTCACTAAGCCAGAGGCCAAAGTGCCCCCTCCCCTTCACCTATACCCAAGTCCTCATGCTCTCCGAGGGCTCGGGGAGGAGGGGCTCAAGGAAGGGGGGTTCCATGTACATATTTATCACCCCTTTCACATAGCCCCCAGACCTTTTGTACATTTTTACAGGGGTGCCCCTCCCAACAGTCCCCTTCCTGGTTAATTAAATCCTCAGACTGGTGCTGTGTTCCTATCCTCTGGCCTCTCTGTGGGGGAGGGGGGACTGCAGGCAGAAGTGCCGGGAGGGGTCAGGCTGGCTTCTCCCTGGAAAGGTGGGGCCAGCAGGAGATGACCAACATGGGGCAGGACCTAGGGACCTGCGCTGTAGGGAGGGCAGAAGTTTCTTGCTTGGTTGACAGCCCTGGGCCCCCCTACTGTTCCCATTCACTCTGCCCCCACCCCCAAAGGCTCAGCCTCTTAAGTTTCAGACTCCACCACTTCTTAATGGCTCAGTCCCCCTCACCCCATTTCCAAGTGCCCCCAGGACTCCTGGGCCCTGCTTCCCTGAACCCTGTTCTCCAAAACCCTGCCCCAGGCTTAGGGTGGCCAGAGAAGGTCACCATGTACCACACACCAAAGAAGGGGGTCGGCCCAGGGGTGGGCGACACAGGCAGCTTCTTCGGCAGCCTCACGGCAGCAGCCCCAGCCTTCCCAAAGCAGCAGGCGCCTCCAGGCTGGGGCCCAACCTAGAAGGCAGGGGTCAATCTAACAAATACATAACGTTGACTTTTTTCCCCGGTGGGGCTTATTCTGTAACATGACTTGCGGATATTTATATAAAAATGAGTGTTACAATGAGGCCCCAGGCTCTTCTTTGAGTGTGTGCGGGGTGGGGTGGACCAGGGTGGGGTGGACCAGGGTGGGTTGGGTGGGTTCTGGGGTAAGGGAGGGATGAGGACAGTGCTGTCCATATCTGGCCAAGGTTTTCCTTTCTCCCACCAACCTGGGCAAGTTGGTCTGCTACTTCTGGAGGAATGAGTTTGAGGGTTGAGCACTGAAGTTTTTCACATTATTTTTCTATAACCCAGGAATACATATTGTGTAAGATTCAAGCAACCTAGCAAGACACTGAGCAAAACATTAAATTTCTCCTTCACCTGCCAACCTTCCCAAGCACCATCCCCTTCCCCAAGGTAACTGCTGTCAATCATTCAGTGCGTATTCTTCAGGTCCTTTCTATGCATATACCACACATGTCTGCACAGGCAGAGTATGTTAAAAAAGATCTATAATTTAAATTTTTTTTTGGTTTCTGTTAAGTAATACGTAGTCATTATAAAATCATTCAAACACAGAGCATGGAGGGAAAGTGCCCCATCATCCCGCCTCTTGAGGATAACTGCTATTCATTGTTGGAGAAATTCCTCCAGTTATTTTTTTACTACAGGCCACTGCAACAAAGCGAGGCACATGAATTTTTTCATTTTCTGGTGATACAAACAACAGTTCCAGCCTGGTGCAGTAGCTCAAGTCTATAATCCCAGCACTTTGGGAGGCCGAGGCAGGTGGATCACCTGAGGTCAGGAGTTCGAGACCAGCCTGGCCAACATGGTGAAACCCTGTCTCTACTAAAAATACAAAAATTATCTGGGCATAATGGGGGGTGCCTGTAATCTCAGCTACTCTGGAGGCTGAGGCAGGAGAATTGCTTGAAACCAGGAGGCGGCAGTTGCAGTGAGCTGAGATTGCCCCACTGCACTCCAGCCTGGGTGAAGGAACGAAACTCTATCCAAAAAAAAAGCACACTCTCTTGTTTGAAGCTTAATAAAATGAAGCATAATAGAATGAGACATATACCCATATCTCTTTAAAGTATTTCAAAAAAATGGGATCCTCTGAAGTGTACTGTTTTGCAACTTTCTTTTTACACTTAGCATTATTCTTTGATGTAATCATTAAAAAGCAGGTCACACCAGGCGTGGCTCATGCCTGCAATCCCAGCACTTTGGGAGGCCAGGGTGGGTGGAGCATGACGTCAGGAGACCGAGACCAGCCTGGCCAACGTGGTGAAACCCCTTATCTAAAAATACAAAAATTAGCTAGCTGTGGTGGTGGGTGCCTGTAGTCCCAGCTACTCAGGAGACTGAGGCAGGAGAAGCACTTGAACCCAGGAGGTGGAGGTTGCAGTGAACCGAGATCACACCACTGCACTCCAGCCTGGGCGACAGAGCAAGAGTCTATGTAAAAAAACAAAACAAAACAAAACAAGTCACTACTAAGCTGGGCTGCTAGGGCTGGCCCCAACCTGAGCCCCTATAGAATTAATTGGATGGCCTTATTCTAAGTATGCCTGCTTTTTTTCTTTTTTGAGATGGGGTCTCACTGTGTCACCCAGACTAGAGTGCAGTAGTGTGATTTCAATTCACTGCAACCCCTGCCTCCTGAGCTCAAGCAGTCCTCCTGTCTCAACCTCCTGAGTAGCTGGGACTATAGGCATGCACCACACCCGGCTAATTTTTGTGTTTTTTGTAGAAATGGGATTTTGCCATGTTGCCCAGGCTGGTCTCAAAACTCCTGGACTCAAGCCATCTACTCCCTCACCCTCCCAAAGTCCTGGGATTACAGGTATCAGCCACTGCACCCAGCCTTGTTTTACTTTTGAGGCAGTTTCGTTCTGATGCCCAGGCTAGAATGCAGTGGTAGGATCACAGATCGCTTCAGCCTCGAACTCCTGTTCCCAAGTGATCCTCCTGCCTCAGTCTCCAGGGTAGCTGGAACTATAAGCCTGTGTCACCACACTTGGCTAGTTTTAAATTTTTGTAGAGACAGGTTTCTTGCTCTGTTGCCCAGGCTGGTCTCGAACTCCTGGCCCCAAGCAATCCTCCTGCCTCAACCTCCCAAGCACTCAGATTATAGGCGTGAGCCACTGTGCCTGGCTCATAAGTGTACCTGTTGCCTTAGGAAAAATGCAGCCAACGTTCCCTGCCACCACCACACATACCCAAGACATGTGGGGAAGGCTCGAGCCTGGATTGCTCCAACAAAGTCAGAAACAGGTGACCAGAAGATGAAAGTTGGCTTGCAGAAAAGATTTCATGTGGAAATTCTTCTTTTCAGCTTCTCTGGAAAATCAAAAAATGTATGGTCACTAGACCTGCTTACCCCATGGTTTTCCTTTGAGGTGGGGCATAATCTCACCAGATTGCCACCATCCCTCCACTCTGTTGTCTTGGAGTAGACCAGCACTATTCAAGCCACATCTCTGGCCCCTATAGGCATATGAGAGTGAAACTCAGTGAAATATTTTTTTCCTTCCTTCCTTCCCTCCCTTCCTTTCTTCCCTTTCTTTTTCTTTCTTTTTTTTTTGAGATGGAGTCTTGCTCTGTTGCCTAGGGTGGAGTGCAATTGTGCGATCTCATGTCACTGCAGCCTCCACCTCCCAGGTTCAAGCAATTCTGCTTCAGCCTCCCGAGTAGCTGGGACTACAAGCACCAGCCACCATGCTCGGCTAATTTTGTATTTTAGTAAAAACAGAGTTTCACCATGTTAGCCGAGATGGCCTCGATCTCTTGACCTGGTGATCCACCCGCCTTGTGCTGGGATTACAGGCATAAACCACCATGCCCGGCCTCTTTTTTTTTTTTTTTTTTGAAGACGGAGTCTCACTCTGTTGCCTGGGCTGGAGTGCAATGATGCAATCTCAGGTCACTGCAACCTCCGCTTCCCAGGTTCAACAGATTCTCCTGTCTCAGTCTCCCAAATAGCTGGGAATACAGGCATGCATCACCATGCCCGGCTAATTTTTTGTGTTTCTAGTAGAGACTGGGGTCTCACTAAATGTTGGCCAGCCTGGTCTTGAATGCCTGACCTCGGGTGATCCTCCTGCCTCAGCCTCCCAAAATGCTGGGATTACAGGGGTGAGCCACGGCACCCAGCACAGTTAAATATTTTCTTTTTGTTGTTGTTGTTTGTTTCTGTTTTGGAGACGAAGTCTTGCTTTTGTTGCCCAGGCTGGAGTGCAATGGAGCAATCTTGGCTCACCGCAACCTCTGCCTCCTGGGTTCTAGCGATTCTCCCACCTTAGCAGCTCTACTAGCTGGGATTACAGGCGTGCGCCACCACACCTGGCTAATTTTTTGTATTCTAGTAGAGATAGGGTTTCACCATGTTGGCCAGGCTGGCCTTGGACTCCTGATCTCAGGTGATCCGCCTGCCTCAGCCTCCCAAAATGCTGGAATTACAGGCGTGAGCCACCACGCCTGGCACAAATATTTTCTAGACATTCCTATCCCACCTCTCATAGATCTCTTCCAAGCACCTCAGATATCCCAAATTGAGTAGTCTTTGAGATCTGATGCCCCCCTTCCCCCCACGGTTTCCATCTCTGTGTCACCAGCACTCAAGTCAGAAACCTCCCTCTTCCCTCACTTAATGCCTTGAGCTGCCTTTGATTCTTTCAACCACTGTTGACTTCATCTATGGTGCCAGGCACTGCACTTAGTGGCTGGGGATACAGGGGTACACAAAACAAACCCCAGCCTTCCTGGAGCTTTACATTAGACTGTGAGAGAGGACGATTACAGAAGCTAATGAGAAAGAATTCCAAGGGCCAGGCGTGGTGTCTCATGCCTGTAATCCCAGCACTTTGGGAGGCCAAAGTGGGCAGATCACCTGAGGTCAGGAGATCGAGACCATCCTGGCCAACATGGTGAAAACCTGTCTCTACTAAAAATACGAAAATTAGCCAGGTGTGGTAGCGCGCATCTGTAATCCCAGCTACTTGGGAGGCTAAGGCAGGAGAATCGCTTGAACCTGAGGGGCGGAGGTTGCAGTCAGCCCAGATCGCACCACCGCACTCTAGTCTGGCGAACAGAGTGAAACTCTCAAAAAAAAAAATTAGTAATAGAATAATTTTTATTCCTTTGGGTATATACCTAGTATTGGGATAGACTGCCTTAACTTGGATGTGTATGTTGTTGTTTTCAGATTTAGACTAGAATTAAGCAGAGATCAAGTACCCTTTTCATCACATTACATCACATCACATCAAGGTTCCAGTTCTCAAGCTGGCCGCCTCCTGCCACTGTTACCCTTCATCACCCAAGTGAAGTCAGAGTCCACTGCTAAGTCATTACATCATTTTTAAAAACCTTTAATCCTTTTCATTTATTTATTTTCAAGACGAGATCTGTTCCCCAAGCTGGAGTTCAGCAGCACAATCACAGCTCACTGCAGCCTCAACCTCCTGTGCTCAAGTGATCCTCCTGCCTCAGCCTCCCAAGTAGCTTGGACTAGAGGCATATGCCGCCACACCTGACTGATGTTTTATTTTTTGTAAAGACAGGCTCTCCCTATGTTGTCCAGGGTAGTCTGGAACTCCTGGCCTCAAGCAATCCTCTCACTTCAGCTTTCCAAAGCACTGGGATTACAGGAGTGAGCCACTGTACCTGGCTACAAAGTCATTCTTTTTTTTTTTTTAATCAGATATTAAACTGATAAGAACAGATACTACACTTGATCTTAGCCAATAGGCTGTGAAGCGATACAAAGTCATTCTTTTTACAAAGTCATTCTTTTTGCCCCATCTTTTGTACCGTACTCTTTGGAAGGAAGTCACTATGCACAGTGCATGCTAAAGGAATTATGTTCCACCTCTTCAAAGGCAGAGTCTCTGTGTAGGTTATTTGGAATTCTTCCATATAGGAGATTAGTCTCTTCTCTCCCATTTATTTATTTATTCTGAGACGGAGTCTAGCTCTGTCGCCCAGCCTGGAGTGCAATGGTGTGATCTCAGCTTACTGCAATCTCTGCCTCCTGGGTTCAAGCGATTCTCCTGTCTCAGCTTCCCAAGCAGCTGGGATTATAGGCTCACGCTGCCAGGCCCCAGCTAATTTTTTGTATTTTTAGTAGAGTCGAAGTTTCACTGTGTTCCCCAGGCTAGTCTCAAACTCCTGAGCTCAGGCAATCCACATGCCTCAACACCATCAAAGTGCTAGGATTACAGGTGTGAGCCACCATGCCTAGCTTTCTCCCATTCATTTATTCAACTTGTTGGATATTGAATTTATTTGATCATATATTTCTATTAGTATGAGTTCATACTAATGGACTTTAGGTTATAATCTAGTACTACTTTATTTATCTATTTATTTTTTATTTTTTGAGAGTCACCCAGGCTGGAGTGCAGTGGTGTGACTACGGTGCACTGCAGCCTCTATCTCCTGGGCTCAAACAGTTCTGCCACCTCAGCCCCCAAGTAGCTGGGACCACAGACATGTGCCACCACACCATGCTAATTAAAAAAATTTTATTTTTTTTTTTGTAGAGATAGAGTCTCTCTATGTTGCCCAGGCTGGTCTGAAACTCTTGTGCTCAAGTGATACCTCACCTTCAGACTCCAGAGAAGCTGGGAACACAGGCCCATGCCACCATGCCCAGCTAATTTTGTGTATTTTTGGTAGAGACAGGGTTTCACTATATTGCCCAGGCTGGTCTCAAACTCTGGAGCTCAAGTGATCCACCTGCCTCAGGCTTCCAAAGCGCTGGGATTACAGGCATGAGCCACTGTGCCTGGCCTAATTTATTATTTATTATTTTATTATTTTTTTAAATTTGTCAAAAAATCTAAATTACTTTTTTCTTTTTATAAAGATGGGGTTTTTCCATATTGGTCAGGCTGGTCTTGAACTCCCGACCTCAGGTGACCCGCCTGCCTTGGCCTCCAAAGTGCTTGGATTACAGGCATGAGCCACCACGCCCAGCCATTATTATTTTTTAACAGAGGCAGAGCCTCACTCTGTTGCCCAGGCTGGCATACAGTGGCCCATGCTTAGTTCACTGCAGCCTTGACCCCCTGGGCTCAAGCCATCCTCTTGCCTCAGCGCCCCCAAGTAGCTGTAACCACAAGTGATTACCACCATGCCCGGCTAATTTTGTTGTTTTTTGAGATGGAGTTTTGCTCTTGTTTCCCAGGCTGGAGTGCAGTGGTGCGATCTTAGCTCACTGCAACCTCTGCCTCCTGGGTTCAAGCAGTTCTCCTGCCTCAGCTTCCCAAGTAGCTGGGATTACAGGCACCCACCACCACACCCAGCTAATTTTTGTTTTTTTAGTGGAGATGGGGTTTCACCATGTTGGCCAGGCTGGTCAAACTCCTGACCTCAGGTGAGCCACTCACCTCGGCCTCCCAAAGTGCTGGGATTACAGCAGTGAGCCACCATACCTGGTCTTTTTTTTTTTTTGAGATGGAGTTTCACTCTTGTTACTCAGGCTGGAGTGAAATGGCGAGATCTCGTCTCACTGCAACCTTTGCCTCCCGGGTTCGAATGATTCTCCTGCCTCAGACTACCAAGTGGTTGGGATTACAGGTGCCTGCCACCATACCTGGCTAATTTTTTTTTTTTTTTTTTGAGACAGAGTCTCACTCTGTCACCCAGGCTGAAGTTCAGTGGTGTGATCTCTGCTCACTGCAATCTCTGCCTACTAAATTCAATCGATTCTCCTGCCTCAGCCTCCTGAGTAGCTGGGACTACAGACATATGCCACCATGCCCTGCTAATTTTTGTATTTTTAGTAAAGACAGGGTTTCAACATGTGGGCCAGGCTGGCCATGTTTGATCAGGAGATCAAACTCCCGATTTCAGGTGATCTACCCACCTCAGCCTCCCAAAGTGCTGGGATTACAGGCTTGAGCCACCACGTCTGACCAGATTTTTTGTATTTTTTGTGAAGAAAAGGTTTCCCTGTGTTGCCCAGGCTGGTTGAGAACTCCTGGGCTCCAGCCAGCTGCCTACCTCAGGTACTTTCTTTACTATGCTCAAGTTTTTCCAGTTTTCAGTTGGCTCCTGTGTTCCATTGACATACTGCATCATTGTGCTTTTTGTTTGTTTTTAGCACCAAGACTTACTTAAAAAAATTTTTTTTTCATTTTAAATTTTCCTGGGTACAGAGTAGGTGTATATATTTATGCATTTCATGAGTT